TAAACATTCATTTATTTATTTTGCATCTGTTGCTGGAGCTGCAATTAACCACAGTTCAGTTCCCTCCAGAGGGAACTGTAAGTGAATTTTAACTATAAGCTAAAGAGGGAGTGGGTGTATTTTGTCTCTAGTGGGTATGCAGATAAACACTGAGGCATTGTGGAGGACACACGTTTTCTGGTTACAAAGGCCTGCTTTGAAGAGTTGATGGCACATCATTACCAAAGATGTGGATATCTGTCTAATTTTTGCTGAGTTTCTGTGTTCCTCATTCATTCTTTTCCCATTCCTATATCAGCTTATAACACAGTTTTTTCTAACTTTTTCTGTGCTTCCCCGCCCCCCATCATGTATGGATTTTTGTACATTGTGTTTTAATACACACATTACCTCCCAATATGTTTAAATGGCACATCTGTATGATTTTAAGTGCCTCTGTTCTGAACTGCATGCAGCACAATTCAACTATGTGGATTTCTGCAATGGGCTAAAGCTGAAGGCCACATGACAGCTCTGCACATGAAATGTTAAGGTTTGACTATAACACCCAGTCTTGCCTGAGTCAATGGGATAGCTCCTTCCTGTTTTTGCCCTACACCATTGGTCCCCAGATATTCTTATACTATAACTCCCAGAAATCCTGGTCAGCAAGCTAGTGGTGATGGCTTGTTGTAGATTTAGTCCAAGAACATTTGGCGACCCACGTTTCGGAACCACTGCCCATCCTGCTTCTGTACCTCCATTTCCCCCCAGATTTCTGTACTGTGAGTAGAAATGTGGGCAACAGGGAGGCTACAGGGTGAGGGAAAATTAGTTTCTGCAGTGACATCTATCCTTCTGGCAGATGGACAAAGTTGGATACATGGAGTATGTGGGTTTAATTAATTCACTCTACATATATTTCCATACATGATGGAGTGCATTGCTTTCAATTACAACATTCATAACCTGAAATTCTGTTGGTTTAACACTCCTCTCCTTGACCCGCTTCTGTGTCAGGTTGTCACTATAAAAACCTTATAATTAAACCTGTGATTGCTTTTTTCTCTTCCATCCCCATCTACCTCTCTCATTGTGTTATGAATTTTACACCGTAAGTCTGAAAGAAAGGGCTGTCTTCTTGCTGATTTTCAACATCAATTTAGGAATCATTTGCTGGTGATAAACATTCCTGATAAGCTGGAAGCAACTTAACATCACGTAAGTGCAAACCAAAAAAAGGTGGTGCTGTTCACTCATTGTTTTTATAAATATTATAGTATTTCTAAATAATCAGTTTTAAAATACTTAAATACTTAAAAATAAGTAAGCATTTTCAAGAGAAAAAGGTGCAGCTCAATTAGTTTAAAGCAGCTCTTTTTGATCCAAAGGTTTAGAAGTGATTCAAGTTACCTAGACTTCTCCAAACTGGTATCCTTCTGATGTTTTGACTACAACTCCACAATCAGCAACCGAAGGTAGAGATGGGCACAGACCGAACGACAAACCAAAAAAGCCGATGGACCATGCTGGTTCATGGTTCAGTTCGTGACCTGGTTCAGGAATCTCGTTTTTGCTGAAGTAAAATGAAGCACCAAACATTTTTCTACTTGGCACTTTGTTTTGCTTTAATAAAATGGGATGGCCTGCCCACCCACCCTCTTCCTACTGCCCCCACTGCCTCTGCCTACCAGGTCCTGCTGCCTCCACCTCTTCTGCCACGGCTGTGGGCAACCGGTGACACCTTCAGAGGTAGTGTCAGGCTCCTGGCAGGGAAGCTGGGTCTGCTGCCTCTGTGCCTGCCTATCACTTGGGCAGTGGGCCCAGATTCCTGGAGCTGGCCTCTGCCTCTGCGCATGCTCCTTCTGCTCAGCTGATAAGCCGGCACATGTGCAGAGGCAGTAGGCCCAGTTTCCCTGTCAGAGGTCTGCTGCTACCTCTGAAGATGGCACTGGCGACCCACAGTGGAGGCAGCAGGACCAGGTAGCCCACCCACCCCCAGAATGAACTTGAAAAATGAACCACAAACTGGCTTGTTTTGCAGAGGGTTCATGATTGTTTGTGGTTCATGGGTAGCCACAAACCACGGTTTTCCCGGTTCATGTCTATTTCTAACCACAAGTCATGTTGGCTGGGTTTGATGGGAGCTGCATTAAAATGTGTCTACCTGTTGAAACCTTGCTCTATAATTATGCAGTTGTCAACTGGAGCCCCAACAAACTTTATTAAGAAGCTCATTTGTGAGGAATCAACAAACAAGCAAACAAACAACTCCTCCCAGCTCTTATTGCAGCCTAATTCCATGGAGATACTGAATTTCCCATAGGGCCTTATGCAGCTTCTCTACTATGTAAGCTACTCCTGTGTATTTAGAGCATTTGGACTCCTCAATCTCCCTATCAGCTTCTTTAATTGGCTAGTCTAAAAACCCCGATCTGTGGGTGTATTTTCCTGAGGCAGTGATACAGCCGTTTCCTGTTGCCATCACAATCTAGCACAGGATATCTCTCTTGCGTTATCAACTGAATTTCTTGGAGTAGAGCCAAGCACAGAGGACTTGGGGACACAGGCTGCATCTTGGCTGAGAAATTCTTTTTAGAAGCTCTATTTTAGTTACATTTTGCCTCATGTGGGCTCTTTTGGGAGAAACACTAGGAGCCAATTTGCTTGCCATTGCTGAATGAAAGCAATGCTTTAAAACAGTTCCCCGTGGCTGTAGTAAAAAAAAGATGGCTTTGCATTTTTCCACAGGCAGGCAGGAAAAAGGAAGTGTTATGATATACATTTTCCCCACATCCAAGTCATTTTTTAAAAGCGCACACTTCTGATTGTACACAACAGCCACTTCTGGGATTCCACAACAACTTGTGATCCATCAGGCTGAATGCAGCTTGCTCAAGCACTCACTTATATGTTGTAGCTTAAGAAATCCTTTTCTTTCTTTTCTCCCTAGGCAAGAAGCAAGAACACAATTTTCACTGAGCCCATGGCTGGGATTGCTTGCACGAGTGGCTGTCTGTATTTGGCTTGGTGGCTCATCAATGGTGCAGATATACTCTTTAAAAACTGTTTTGTTTGGGAACTGTATATATGCTTAAACCAAGGATAGGAAACCTTAGGTCCTGGAACTGAATCTGGCCTTCCTTGGATCCTGAGTCCCCTACATGGCCACCTCCCTTTCCTTGTGGCACCATTGGCGGTGGTTTCCCAGCTTTAAATGGTGGTATTCCTTTCATTCTGTAAGATTAAAATGACCCTCCTTAGGCTTAGTCACTGGCAGAAAGTGTTTTGAATTAATCTTTGAGGCTATTTTGGCCCCCAACTGTTTGCCTTTAATTTCATCTGCTGCTATACAGTAAACCAAATAACTTTTCTGAGATTGAACTTGGGCCCCCAATCCAAGAGGTTCTCCATCTTTGATTTTATCAAGTTCAGGTTAGGTAGAATTCTTGATGCCATCTGAGGGATAGGCTTGGTGACCTTGGCCATGAAGCTCACTCAGTAGCCTTAGGCTGGTTGCTCTTGCAGAGCCTGATGCACTTTATGGGTCTATAGGGAGGGAAAATTGGGGAGGCAAACCCCCCTGTATGCTGCCTTGAGCTCACTGGAAACACAGGATATAAAATAACAAAACATATACAGTAATAACAGATATACAGTATATTGGTGCGCAAATTACGCCTTGCACCAAGGCAAATATTGTTCGATCCTTATAGTTCGTATCAACTATGATTTCAAATTGGGAGTTATTCCAGTAATATGTCCAAATTATTTAGGGTTTGTTTGTACTATGGAAAAGTACCACTGTAATGAATTTCCTCTTTCTGATAAAACAAATCTATGCATGTTTACTGAGCTACTCATTCCACTGAATTCAATAGATCTAGCAGGGGTAAGATGCAGCCTAAATCTCAGCATACAGTGGAGTTCCCATCCTGCTGGCAAATGTGGCACTCATGTTGCCATAACGACAAGAAGGAAGTATTCTGGCCTTAATTATAACTGCGTAATAGGAAGGAATTCACCAGAAGACCAAAGACCACCAGAATTCACCAAAATATTGCCATGTGATGTCAGGTCAAAACTGAATTACAGTGACATTAATACAGTTTTCAAAGTAAGGGAGGTATTTAGAGTGATTTTACCAGTTCCACTCTCCATCTCTTGGGTTTCCATGCCAGAGCTGGGGAATTCGAACCCAGGTCTCCTGAGTCCTAAGTCCATTACTACACCACACTGGATACCCTTCACAGTATGACTTATCTGGTAAAGCTTGCACCTGTTATATATCCGTTATTTACTCATCTGTTAAAATCAGATAAATTGTGGTTGAAAAATGGGAAGGAGGCGATCACAGCCTGCGGAGCCAGAGGTTACGAGTTCGATTCCGCACTGTGCCTCCTAGAGACAGGCTGGATCCGATGCTCCACAGAAACCCTTCCAGTTCTGCCGTTCTAAGGTCCAAGTCCTTTTCCATATCATACAAAATCCAGGAAACGGCTCTGAAATCCTTGGGACACTGAAAAGCGCCTTGCAAAGGCGAACTGTTAATTTTTACAGTAACACTTCACATAAAACAATACATGTGAATACAACTCAATGAATTATTATGCTTGCTCTTCTTATTTTTCCCAGCAGTAAAACGAAGTGCTTTGGGGCGCGGAAACCTCGAAAGTGCCGATAAGAATCTCGGCGTTTTATTCCACCAATCGTTCTGGGGAAAAGAGGGCGGCTGCGCAACTTCACGAATCTGCCGGAGGCTTTCTCCTGCTCTTTCCCATTCCTTCCTCTCTTGCTCAAGCTCCCCCCTTCCTCCCGACTTTTTTTTTCCTATTGCCCGGATGGTCACGGCCAGTGGGAGCGCTTTCCTTAGAAACTACGGCAGGCGTCGAGGTCCAATCCTTTCCGGCTTCTCCTCAGGCCCCACTCCAAG